AAACAGATTCTTGTCGGGATGGTTTTCGCTTGCATTTCGATTTGTTGAGACAGAAGAGATTATTAAAAGAAAAGAAATGACCACGGGAAGAGAGAAGAATGAGAATGAACGGCACATTTTGTGTTGAGGTCTGCAAACAAGTAAAGAAGAGCGACTTATTGTGCAGCTTTAGAATTGGTTCACGCCTGTCTGAGAGAGAAATGAGTTGTTCAAAGATGTGATTTATCAGATGTCCGGAGTCATGATTTTGAGTGAGAAATTGAAGCTAAGGTAGGGTCACAAATTTACAAATTTCAGGTAGTGGGGTGGGGGAGGGGAGTAGGTTTCTTTATCAGATTTGATGGATATGACTACACGAAAGTAGCTTCAAGTTTCATCACTTTGGAAATAATGACTTGTGGGTTCAAAAATTTCTTTTACAGCCTCAATTGCACGCTCAAGTTCCCTAACTAAAGAAGATTTTTGTCTCCCCTTTTTTTCTTTATTATTATTATTTTTTTAATCGGAGTTTCATTTTAGCATATGAACTTGAGAGAAAAAATACATTTTCACGAACAATTTCTATATAAAAAGACACCAAATAACTCAAAGACAAAGGATGATAGTCAAAAAAATTGTCGATTCATGACAACCTAAACACAAACATTTCGTTACTTAAAAAAAAAATTACATATATGTATAGAGAGAACTCATTTTACCAAACTAAAAAATAAATTTAACAAGGAAGAAAAAAATAAATCGAAACATATATAACTTTTAATAAATAATTAAGCAGAAAAATAATTTGTTACGAGAAATTATTTCGTGAAATATTTTCGAAGTTGGATGAAGTTGCTATTCATATAGTGAAACAGCATATTGCATTTCTGGGCATGTTGACCAGATAAAGATCTTATAAGCATTTCTCCACAAAAGCCAGCAACTTAATTTAAAGCCAGCATTTAATACCCAGAACAACTTATTCCCTGTTTGGACCTCTTTTTAAAGCTCATTTTTCCTCGAACTCATCTTCAACCACATATTCATAGAATCCATAACTTTTGTCAACTTTTCGATCATACATTTCATCAACTTTTATCAAAATTTATAAAAAAAATCTTATTTTTAGCTAAACCAAACCGGGGCTTATAAGCACCCCATGTGTCATCAGCAATCGAAATGTGTCTACAAGAATTGGAGAAAGGGGAAGTAAATGAATTATTATTGACAACATTCGAATTATTCACAGCAAATGAAAATCTGACAAAATACATACGAATACAATGAAGTGGCTGTTCATCACTTCATCGTAAACAATGTCGTCGATTTTTACGGCATAATCTAAATTTTCAAGTCCATACAAGGGAAATTCACAAGAGTTCCAAGATTCAGGGTTAATTTGTTTACCGTGTCATAAACCAACTCTTCTTCAGCCACCTTCGGCGACCACATTGTACTTCTGTAGTAAAAACAGAATGGCGGTTCAAGTTTGGCGATGCATTACGAGAACATTTGAAGAAAGTTATTGGCCTATGCCATTGGCTTGACATCAGGGTGTGGCTGCAGTTCATCAGTAAACTTCAGTGTCAAAATGACAATCGAAATCCAAATCCCAACCACCAGAAAAATAGGGAGGGAAGTAGTAATAGTAAATCTGATTTTGGAGGGAAGGGGGAGGGGGGGGGGGGGGGGGGGATATGAAGGGGAGACATGCCAATGCTGGTACACTAACCATTACTGTATAAGTGACGATAAATGCACCCTTATTTCCCATCTGCACCGAGTAAAGAAGATTTACTGTTAGCCATAAAGTTTCAAAATTCAACAATATGCTGCTCATTGGTTAATTAATTATGTAGATTTAGATCAATAAACATTGCTGTATTTACTGTTTAGCATTAAGATTCGCAAAGTAAATTCAAGAGTTTATGGATAATGATTCTTTCCCAGCATTCCAGTGAATGGCAAGAGATGAAGGTCCTCACAATATATGCTTGTACATTACACAATTGAAAAACTAAGCAATTAGCTTATATGTTAGATATTAAGTGGAGAGTGGCATCCTGTTCCTCCAAGTTCATAAACAGACAGCGAGCGCTGGACATTATTTACTTTGGCATTTAGTTCTTACAAGAAACATGGGAGCACCGTGCAGAAGGTTTAGTTTCCACAAGTATAACATATGCATGATCACACTCAACATCTTCAGATTTGATGCAATTTGACTTTATATCACCATTTAAGTTTTCCTCTCATTTTTGTCTCTTCCCGGAAAATTAAACGGGGCGAGGAAACCAGCATAGGTATTACTGCCCCTTAAAAAATTGTTCAAGGGAAAACAGCTCTTTGTTAAGACAAACAAGTAATGATCGAAGAGCTTAATGAATTGATAATATTACAACTGCCAACATTTATTGGGCACAGTTGAGGTCCAAAATTGAAAATATAATTCGTCGACACTGGCATCAAAGATACTAGACAGCCATTAAGCATAAGACAAAAAAGTTTTGATCAATGAAATTTACATTTACCGATAAAAAAAAAACAAAAAAAAAAAAAGTGATAATCATATTCATATTACCTGATCACGGTAGTTTGGAGCAGAAAAGACAGTGTTAAGTTTACCATCATGCTCAATCTCATAACCTTCATCTTTCACTTCATGTGACCGCACTACTAAATCTGTTAATAAGATCATGTTGCTAAACCACTTATGTTTTGAATATGAAAAACCTGAGACATTTTAAAACTGCAAGTAAAATATGAGGCTGCAATTCATGTAAGGAATTGAGAAAATTACCTAGCTTGTTATCCTGCAAAAATCTTTTAGTTACATCTGCACCAAATGAAAGACCAACACCACGTTTGCTGGGTCCCTCCCAAGTTGAGGTTGTGGATCACTCCAGAGCAATTCACACATCAACCATAGTTGGCATAAAAAAAATAAAAAAAGAGATTAAAGGAAACAACCAGAAATAAAAAATGGAATCCATTCAAGCAGAACAATCTCCTTTATTGTGGTGATCCCAGTATATCCTCCCTCTTAGCTTATTCCATGAATGGTTTAACTATTGAAAACTCCTACACCTACTTCTCTCTCCCTACAAACTCTCCCCCTTGTACATAGGAAACAAGAAAATGGCACATTAGAAGAATTTCTTGCATGAGACACATGATTTGAGATTCTACTACATCCCAATACCCTTAACATGTCAAAGTTTAGCATACGAATTAAACAGGCGTAAAACTGAACTGACACGACCATTGAAGCAGTGACAAATTCCTAGTAATTTTATCTTAATTTTTATACTAGTTACCATATTTCTGACTAAATGAAAAGAGACAGTAATGCTTCTGGATCCAGACACACGACCCATAAGGTTCTATCTATCCAGTTGCTTTCCCTTTTTCCATTATGAGAACCCAGGGATTAAAACACCAGATATTAAAGCCCAAGAATTGGGTATTATTACCTTAAGAAGTACTGACATTCAATTCAATCAACAAGAATATTGAAAGTATCATTCTTTGACTGGTAAAAGAATAAAGAGGGCTTGAATAGCATCTTTTTCACATACTTTGACAAAATGAGAAATGGTGGTAATGTTACATGCTGCATTCATAAATCATATTTGTTACTGGGAAAAGGTAAAACATCCTTGCAACAATTTTCTATAGAATAATAAGATGATATTTCTTATAACTAGATTATTTCAAATAAAAACCTTCTAGAATCATAAGGCATCAGTAGCCGGAAAGGGAAAATGAACGTACAAAATAAATAACTGAGTTGAAGCTTACCCTCTTCAGGAGGCTCACAGAACCGATCAATTTTTCTTATGCCAGAGAGCTTCACACCATCAACACTGAAAAGGCCTCCATGAACCACAAAAATTTTCTCGTTTATAACATGAGCCAAAGGTAAACAACAGAACACTTCCGCAAAGAGTTCCACAAACTTATCACTTAATTTGGACTTGACCTCACCCTCAAAACCATATATTTTATTCATGCTCCTACTTTCATGATTTCCTCGAGCAATATATATAGCTGAAAGTTCAAGTTGATAAAAAGCAGTGCTTCATTCTGAGAAAGGCTAAAAGGCTAGATCCCTTATGCAGATGGAAAACATAAATGTATAGTACAACGAACGAATAGAACTTACAGCTCAATAGATACATATGCAATGAGCTCATGGTATAGACAAGTGGAAAAAATGACAAAGATGCTAACACCTAGAAATTTCACCATTTCATGCCATTTTTTAAATGAAAATGCTAGTGAACACTGTCAAACTGTCAGTTAACTCAAATATGAGCCAGTATAACACATTAAAAGAACTAATGTTTGTAGAGATCAAAACAAGATATAATAGGCAACCTAATTACTGAGTTTGAATGCTATACTTTCCTGTTTTTTGTCAATTGAGAGGGACATAAATTTACAGATGTCTACCTACAATAAGCTCTAATGTTTTACTCCATGTATAATCATTAAAATGAAACCACCAGAAGTACACGTGCGAAGAATATCAAAGCCAAAAGAAAAGGAGGGATGACCTGATGGAGACATGCACTTGAAAGAAAACAGCGTGAGTATGACCTCTAAAGAGAAAGAACCCCTATCAACAGTGTCTCCGTTGAACAGATATGGATTATCTTCAGAAGGAAGTCCGTTGAGCTCAAATATATTTAATAAATCATAGAACTGCAACCATGTAACAATGGTTAATAAGATAAAAATACAGATTTAAGTAAATAAAATACAAAATCAATAGTCAGCATGTCCTATGGTTTCTTCAGTGTTTTATTAATCAAAGATCAATCAGTAAGCGGGAATCTAAACCAAATAATTAACTAAATTAATTAGTAATGAAACAGAAGAAAAGAAAAATAAGAAATGATCTCGACAATCTAGTCATAGGCTGTATACACTGCCAAATGCAGTACATTCTAAGAATTGTGACTCTAAATATACAAAATTTTCTTTTAAAGTTGTTGCTGAACACTCTGCATGCACATATATTTGTTTGCTAAGACACTATAAGTTCTTATGATGTGGGTGGCAAACTGTGACACTGATGATTAAAAGATTCTTCAATGACATCCAAACAAGGAATCAATTTCACCTGGTCATGTACATCACCGCATACAGTGAAGTGCTTCCCAGTAGGAACGTTAAGGTCGACCAGAGAAGGCAAAGATTGCAACATTTCTCTTGTTTGCAAAACAATCTGGTATGCATATCTACATCACAAAAACAAACATCGAGATGAAATACAAATTCTTCAATTGAATTTCAATTGAATATGCCATGACAAAAAACTAAACCTATGTTTGGCTCATCTGCATAAACTATGTATAAACACTCAAACTACCTTTTATCCACACATTTCGAGAGACTCACGAGTACTACACGTTTATCCACCACTCATTTCTATCTATTTATAATTTAAACCGTTTATACATGCTTCTCGAACATGCTTTTAGTCTTATTCTCAATATATTTGGAATCGGCTACATGAATCCTTTTTCTCCATTTCATGTCTACCACATGTATTGCTGCAGAAAACCAACATCGCAATTTTCAAATCAAGTATAATATGAATAGCATTATTAAACAAAATAGTGAGCTTTCACTCTGTACCGTTTGTGTAAGCACTTTTGATTCTTGAAATCATCCATCATTTTCTTCACAAAATCCAAAGTAACAACATCGTTTTCTATTCTTGCACTAGCATATTGTGGTTCCACATCTGGAAGCAAAACAGAACATAAACTTCATTAATGTGTAAGCTATTGTGATCTGTCCAAATTAAGTTACTAGACCCATTAACTTTTACAAAAAGAAGTAAAGATATTTCAGTAAATTGTAGCTGTGTTATTGCAGATTGTTATTTCTTCACTAATAATTGAGACAATGTCAAATCATGAAAGCAGATTATAGTTTGGAATAAAAGAACAAGACTGTTAAAAAGCTTATCATCAAGATGTGGTTCCAGTTTATAAAAATCCAACTAACATGTGAGCATGGCATTCTTGTAGGATCGGAGTTGGCCCTACAAACTGATAATATTAAATAAATCTTGTGATTGTATCAGAGATTTCATAAAGGAGATGTCTAGTTTGAAGCAGGCATGATTCATTAATGCTTCCATACACAGTAGCCAAAGCAACACCTTCTAATTTCCTGAACTATTGCATTCCTACTAATAGATGATGGAGTGGAAAATAGTTTGAAGATTTTTACACAACTTCTGAAACTGGTCTTGTGTGATGCAATATAACCCTTCAGAGTGATGCCACGAGATTCTATGTCTGATGCTTGGAGATCATCTTCCCCCTTTCTTATTTTCCTTTGATCTTCATCCATCCAATCTTGTGCAGAAACTATCAAAATAACTTATTTGGATAACTAACATCCAGAATTTCCAGGTATAACCAATTTACCTTCACCCAAAACCAGCGAAATTCCAAATCCAGTTATCAGCATACACAGATTCAGTTCATGGCATTCAAGAACAATTATGAAATTGTTCTTCCTCAATCTCTCTCATAATCCAATTCTCAAACCATTCCCCATCCATCAGAAACCCTTGAAACCCAAAATTTTACTTCCCATTTTTATCTTTAAAACTGAAAATTTTGAACGTTTCCGCTCTCTTGGTTGATATCCTTCCTAAGTCTATAAGGGAAAGAACCCCAATGAAATAACTTCTCCTCTGAATTATCAACTTTAACATAGAAAAATGAGGAGGTGAACAGCAGAAAGTAGAAGAAACATTATCAAATATAACTGTTTTATTACCCCACACCACATGTTCAAGAACCAATTGCTAACAAACTGAAATTCCACACAAAACCAAAAGGGAACCCAAAAAAAAAAAAAACAACTCATACTTTAGTCTGGAGGCATATGGGAAAGAACCTTATTGCGGTTCAATTGAATGCCAAGCAACATTGAAAACAGAGACCTCTCAGTTACATAACAGCAGGTATATGGTCAGTGTATGCAATCAGAAGTAAATTTTGCGGGCAAGTGGCTCATTAAATTCTATTTCAAGAAGCAACATATAAAACTTAAATGGATGATCTTCCAAGGACCCCAAAACACATAAGATCGTTACACAGTTATATTCACAAATGACAAATACCACCAAACATATAGATCCCTAAGTGTTCAACCTTTTATTATTACAATTCCTTCCATTAGCTTTAGTTGATGTGCAGGACCAATGAGCAGAGAGTCAATTTCATCTCTTCAGTACAGGAATAAAGAGACATCTTTATATATATATATATATATATATATATATATATATATATATATATATATATATATATATATATATATATATCCATATATATATATATATGGATTTAAATCATCCTCTAATAGCAAGCTGTACGTGTTATTATTTACTGATCGCTTGAACAAATAAGAATATTCCTAGATGTCTAGGCTTTTTCGTGCTTCCCAACCATCAAACAAGATTACAATTTTCCATAGGCCGCCTCAATAAGTTGAAGACGCTGCAATCTCATTAAGAGTAAAACACAATAATGAAGAACAGATTTACAACATCTATGGATAGATTTTTGAGAAAAATTTCATCATCAAGCACTTAGGAACCCACAAGGCCTGCTTATCAAGTGCAAACAAAAATTTATCACAAACAAATTTGCATTTAGGAAAAAAAAAAGAAAAAAAAAGGGAATTGCAAGACCAGGTAAAAGTTTGAGGGTACTGCATATCTCATGCCATTCATGCATTTAAACAACTTTTGAGGCGGTAAACACACATTGAGCGGACAATCAGGGATAAATTTTGTTAATATAATACCCAGAGGTGGCGAAAAGGGATAACATAGTCCACTGACAGAAATAGATAAACATTTCGAAAGCTTAAAAAAATAGCTATAAGAGAAAATAATAATGATTGGATACCTATGGCACGATAATCAATAGAATCAACTATTGAACGTCTTTCTGATTCAGGTACAGCAATAGCTTCTTCAAAGTTTAGTTTCATCACAGCTTTTTCACATTCTTTCAATTTCTTGGCAGCATCAAGGTCATTTGGACATATTTTCTTTACCTAAACAAAGAAAAACTATTCATCAGCGTACTGGAAACTTGTGATTGCATAAGTTACATCATTCGTGGCAATCAAAAAGAAAAGTCACGTTAGCTCTAATATTCCCATGAATGAGCAAGTCACAAAGTTAATCACTCTTTCAAGCTGTGTAATTTTCATGCCTAAATTTTGATTTTTGCTCCCGCTGATTTGAAATCTATATAGTATTCTGTATAAATATAAGTAAAACCTTAATCTGTCTCTCGCCAATTAAACCAAACATTTCAGTGGTACCACAGATTTTACCACTTAACACAATGTCAAAATTGCAACTTCATCTTAAATGTATATTCACCTATAATAAGACCCCAGTAAACATATAGCCATGAAATTGGAACAATACCTGTACTTGAAATTAAAATTTCCCCTTTATTGCTCTATTTTGTTTCATCATGAACATAATTTTGAATTTACAAACATGCATTCTTTACTACTTCAAGCTAAACAGGGACTTGTTAAAGCATGTTTGATCCCCATTTTCTCAACAAAATGCACTTTGCAATAGTATTTTGATGGAGAATGTGTGGTTAATAAAGAAGGAAAGGTTTTGGGTTTGTGTGTAATATTATTTTGTTGTGAAGAATGTGTGATTGAAAATAAAAGAGAGAGAAATGTATTTTGAAAATAATGGGGATCAAACAATGGACTAGCCCAGATAAGCCTTCTCGAATGCATCATGATGAAAGCAAAATGATTTAACAGAGAGAACCAAATTTAATCTTTGACCCAACCCAAAAAAAAAAGGGAAAAAAAGACCAAAACTTTCTACTATAGCATTACCAGAGTAATTCCAAAAGGCATGTAAAAGGCACATTAAACTTACACACAAGGACATAAGTCATAACTAACGATGAAAACCTACTTGTTGAAAATCCTTCAGTGCCATCTTAAATTTTCCCATAGCCAAATATGCCGCGCCGCGTCTATAATAACCCTGTAAGAAAATCAATTCAACCACATTTGATGACAAATCTCCTCAAATATAAATTAACAAGAATAAAAATAAGAATTCATTTTTCCTCTCACAAATTTAGAAACAGATAAACTAGCCTTAGAATATTTTGGGTCAATTTCAACAGCTTTAGTAGCATCCAATATTGCACAGCCATACTCTTCCAATTTGGTGTGTGCAAAGGCACGGTTAGCCCAGTATACCGCATTCTCACTATTCAATTCTATTGCTTGTGTATATAAATCAATAGCCAGAGAATATTTATGCGCTGAAAAAAAAAAAAGAATATTTACATTAACATCAAAGAAATTTAAACTCTTTAACATAAACATAAGCATCTTTATCATAAAGTGGCCACCTTTAAAGGCTTCATTTACTGAGAGCTTGAGCTGTTCGGCCCCGTCACTGTTTGTGGAATTTTCAGTTGCCATGCTTCGGAGGCATAATAGTAATAAAAATAGTGTAACTACTGTGTACATGTGCGTGGCTGGGTGAGTGGGTGGGCCCTAGATGATTCTAGAATCCGGGGGACACTGTTTGTTTATTTCTTCATTTTTTTTGTTTTGTTTATTGCTGACGCCAAAAATGAGTAGAGTTGTTATGAATAAAAAATCAGTAACATGTAGGGTTTAATTACTTTTCTCAAATTATTGTTTTTTTTTTTGGAATATTTCAATTATTAAAAATAATGTGACATGCACGTTATTGATTACTTCTCAAGCGATAGTTTCACGATCCCGACCACCACCTTCTGCATGGTTCAACTTACTTTCGCATATTAATTGAGCCATTAGAAAAATTATTTTGGCTACGAAAACTTTATTGTCTGTTTGATAAAATTTTGGCAAAATTTAGCTCCCGTTTGAGTTTCATTATTTCTCATTTCATTAAATTAAATTTTTCTCTCCCATACTTTTAACCATACAATCTTTAATAAAATAATATTACAAATAAATCAAAAAAATTTCAATCATTCATTTTTTCAAAAAAAAAAAAACACTATTAATCTCATTATAATGCCAAATAATGGGGCTCAAACACACCATTAGTTAACTTTTAACTGAATTGACTTTAATTTTAACTATGTAACTCTAAGATTCACAATTGTTATTAACTTTTTAATTTTTAATAATACATTTTATCAACTTCTATTAAAATTTACTAAAATTTCTATCAAACTTTTAATGAACTTGACCATAGAACATGGGAACAAGAGGATATAAATTTATTTTGCATGTTTGATACTTTTGTGTTTTCTCTTTAAATTTATGACGAAAAACACATGCCCTCTTGGAATGTGATATGAGTTTTGTTAGGGCCTGTTTGGTAGTAATTATGATAATTATATTTTGATAGAAAAATGGATCTCACCTGCGAGTAAAAAGTCAAAAACGACTGTTGGAATAGTGAATAATGATAAAAAAAAAAAAATGATTTTTTGGAGTGAAACATTGCCACCAAAAGGGGGGCTTAAATTGGATACTGAACTAAGTTGGTCTCTACTAATAGTAATACTTCGATTTTGTGTTGATTTTTATCCTAGAATATAGCTCTCGTTTGGCTTCTATTCTTTCCAAATTTTGATGGTTGAAATAGTGTTTTTTTGAAAAATGTGTGGTTCAAAAAAAAGAATGAAAAGTTTTTTATTTGCTTTTACGAAAGATTGTATGGTTGAAAATAAGAGAGAGAGAAAATGAGAAGGAAAATTGGGGCATAATTCTTATGTCCATCCTCAAGTACCGCGATGTATAACCTTGAAACAAGCAGCATCACCCGGTCTTGTTCAGCCCTTAATTACACAAGTCTGAGGCCTTATATGATATCTCAACAATTCTCCAAATCCACCCCAAAATATGAAATTTTCATTAACAAACAACTGCATAAATAATAATAATAAAAAAGCAAGAAAAGAAAACATATATAACAAAGGACTCAGACTGTACTAAATCTTAACACATACATTAGCTTGGTGTCCTAAATATGCACACTTGTTTAACCAGCCCTGAGATCAGCTTTCATCGACTTCTCCCACTGCCCACCATCGCAAAACCACAGTCACACCGCCAGTAGAATAGTTTCCACCACCACCATTCTTACCAAGCCTGCCACCAATATCGGGCCATTTTCATCCTCGAAAGAGGATGATTGAAGATAACTGGCCACCAAAATAATATAGATATTCACCTTACTTGTTTTGACCGAAGCGTTTGTCTTCTTTATTTAATTAGAAAAACACGAGGCATTTTGGTGGAAATTTACGTACACTTCCACTTTCGACACAATTTACAAGCCTTCTCAACAACATTAAAAATACGAGGACTAAATCAAATGGCAACCCCTATTGATTCCTTTTTACAAAACTAAAAACTTATTGTTGAAGAAATGTGATTATATTGTACTCACGGAAGACTTGACAATAGGTCGAGCTGAGCACACAACTGGATTGCTTATCTGAACCTTAAATTCCAAGTTTGTTGCATCATCATGTTATGTCATGGCTTAATAAGGTTAAAACAAACTTGAAATTTTCACCCATCGTAGAACTCTACACTCGTCTAAGGATTAATTGATTTATGCTTACACATTCAACAATTTGAGCAGATTGGAAAAGGCAATAGACGAGTTTGTCACATGCCCAATTCGTGATATGTTTTCATCTATCTCGGATCTAGATAAAGGAGGAGAGTTTCAGTAAATTGACGATTAACGTAAAATTTTATCGAATTTTTTCATTTGAATTATTATAGACGTGTTATTTATTGTTGTTGTCCCCTTCAATAAACACATCCAATGCTTTGTTTTTGTAATTTCAAGTAAATGCAAACAATGTTAATATCCATTGATTCTCATCCCTGATCTTGAAAGGTGAACACCAGCAGCCCTATATAGGCCAGGGAAACCCATCAAAGTTGTTTTCAAATTTCGGGTCATCTTGATCACTATTCAAGTGAGTGTTAGTATAGGAGAAGGGGGGTCCATCTATTTCAGGAGGTTTGAAGATTCATTTCAAAAAAAAATAAAAAATAAAAAAAATAAAAAAGTCAGAACATTTAATCCACATGTCCCTAACTACTTTGTTTATGATCGTATTGTTGGGAATTTACTTAACGTATGCAGCAGAAATTAAAATAATTTTCGATTCCCAATAAGAATTGTCTTTGTGATTAGATATAAATTGTGATAAAAGATGTACTTTTTGTTGAGATCTGCAAACTCCTTTACAATTCTTTATTCCAATGATCTTGATTCGTCATCCACAGTTGTCCAATTGTCCAGCCTCTAACGATGATCCACACAGAGAACAAAATTGTAGTATTATGATTTTTCTTGTGCTAGCAAGAATAATGAAAAATCTCTACAATTTTTGAAAATCTTAATCATATTTATATAAGTCTGAACGGGTTTGGTCTGATCCGGTCCAACATTTAATTAACCCATTTAATTAAATTCGATCCGTAAATTAATTAACCAATTAATCAATTCAGGCCTATAAATAAGCAACCCAATTAATTAATTTATCCAACATTTGTTAAATTAATTAATTAACAAATCACAATCTTCTAATTCTCCTTTTGTGTGTGACCCATCAGATTCCCGATCACGATGCCTAACGACATGAACTATTATTTTGATCTAATCAAAATTGATCAATTAAAATACCCTTTTAATTTATCATCAATTCACACTTGTCGTCCCAAATTGACATCCAACAATATATCGGGGCAATACATGTGATAGGAAACGTCACGTGGTATGAAAAAATCAAATCCGTTCGTTTACCGTGAAACTATAATCCCTCCGTCAATATGATCCGATCAATTATGAGATATGGAAGTGTGTCAATCTTGATAATCGATCATATCTTTCACTCCACTATTAAGTCAATATAAGTCGAAAACTCCTTTTCGACTTTTGAGTATACCTTGACCAATAATTTTGTTATCGACTTAATTGAATAAAATGCAGATCATAATCTTTTACTATCTAAGAGTGACGAATACTCTATTGGTCATTTATAACCATCATACGATTCTTGACATACTGATGAGAACCCTGTAGCAACGTTGACTACGAAACCCACAACGAGATTGACGAACCCAAAAAAGCCAAATTAATCCAAGAGTTTAGGATTAACTCAAAAGAAAGTCGAACCAAAAAATCAACAAGAACGACGCTTGAAAGACCCCTTGATCACGCAATCCAAAAATTAAATCTGATTGTTTGAACGCCACAAGTTAACACTTGATAAGTTCGAAATTGTTCAATAAAGAACGATGAAGAAAAACAATACGCCTCACTTTTAATTCAATATCAAATATGTCAAAGGTTTTTTAACAATTGAATGGAAACTCCTATTTATACTAAACCTAAAAATTAGGTAAAAATCGTGCAAAAGTCGATCATAATCTCCAAAATATAGAAAAAAATCAAAAACTAACAAAATATGAAAAATTACCAAAATTGAAAAATTCGCCAAAATTTTGAACCATGCGGCCGCATGGTGTATTTTCATGCGGTCACATGATTCAACCAAAAATCCATCTTGAGTTTTGGTATGCCTCTATGCGGTCGCATGGTGCGGTCGCACAGACTTGTTTTCAACCTCCGATTTCGTCGCTTGATAACAAATTGATCCAAGTTAATTCGGCCTTCGATCCGATCATGAAAGTTGCTCCATTTTGAATCCCGAACATGGTTCCATCAATGGTTTCTTGAACGAGCAATCTCATCGCTTGTTTCACTTACTTTGCCCTTGATCGCGTCATTGGTTCGCCATCGACTATCAACGGGTTTCGTCTAGCACTCGCCTTCGTCGGACTCGACTCCTGGATCATATCATCCCCTCCCTCTTCAAAAAGATTCATCCTCGAATCTGAACTTGCATCAAACAGAGAGAGATCAGATACATTAAAAGTAGCCGAAATATTGTACTCACCTGGAAGGTCCAACTTGTAAGCATTGTCGTTTATCTTTTCAATCACTTGAAATGGACCATCGCCCCTCGGTTGCAACTTGGACTTCCTTTGCTCCGGAAACCGCTCTTTCTTAAGGTGCACCCAAACCCAATTTCCTGGCTCGAATGTCACGCGCTTCCTACCTTTGTTCACCTGCTATGTAACCAACTTACTTTTGTTTTCAATTTGCGCTTTTACCTTTTCATGGAGTGACTTAATCAATTCCGCCTTCTTTTTGCCATCTAAACTATCACGCTCATTCACAGGTAAAGAAATTAAATCCAAAGGAGTTAGTGGATTAAAACCATACACAATTTCAAATGAAGAATATGACGTAGTAGAGTAAACAGCTCGATTGTATGCAAATTCAACAAATGGTAGACACTCCTCCCAACTCTTCAAATTTTTATTGATTACTGTGCGTAACAATTGTGTTATAGTCCTATTCACTACCTCGGTTTGTCCATCTGTTTGCCGGTGACAAGTTGTGGAAAATAGTAGCTTAGTGCCTAACTTACCCCACAAAACTCTCCAAAAGTGACTCAAAAATTTGACATC